AGCCATGGGAGTTGAAGTCCACTCATCTTAAAGTGGCCAAGTTTGGACAACACTGCACTAAGGTTAAGAAACACCAGCTTAGTGCCTCAGTGGCCTTAACCTGGCCCTGGTGCAACCTCTTCCACGCTTACTGGGGAGCACAGAATGGAAGGGGATGCCAAGTCCCTTTCTGGATTTCCTAGGCAACAGGGGCTGCAGCAGGTGAGTTCCTGCTCACTCCCACCCCCATTGCTCCTCATTTTGCACCAGGGCATTGAATAAAAACTGTGCAAGGATAGCTTGGGGGCTGTGGCCATTCCTCCCATCCCGCTGTGAACAGTCAAGAGGAAGCAGCAACGGGGCAAGCACACTCATGCACAGGCAGAGTGGCAAGACTGCCTGGGTCATGCAAAGGGCTGGATCCACAATCGGTCTCTTCCTTCTGACCCAGTTGGCTGCAACCCGCAGCTGGGCAGTGCTGCCCTTTGACGCTGGCGCTTTGACCAAGCAAAGGAGAAAAGGGGGGCCCAGACACCCCAACGGCCATTCTTTCCAAGTTCTGTCCATCGGTCAATTGCAGGCGCTCAAGCGAGTCTCCCAAAGGGACGGCCAGCCGACTGCCCACTCCCTCAGCAACAAATTCATTCAGCCATGCTTGGAGACCTATCGGTGCAAAGCTGACTCCTTAGGGAGGGACAGGGTCAAAAGAGTCGGGGGGGAAACGGGCCGCTCCCATCTCCACAGAGGCCAGACTACTGAGAAACACACCGGCACTCGAGTGCTGCCTTTCCCACCCAGCACTTCCGGGTGTGCTGAACTACAACTCCCATCAAGCAGAGCTGCCAACAGCAGATGATGGGGCTGAGCAAACACCCCTGCAGATGGCTGCTCTTGAAAGAGAGGAAACCACCAGCTGCTGAGCAAGATGCTGCAGAGGGACACGCAAGCAAGTCCTGCAGGGACCGGGCTCTGCATGGCAGAAAGGCAACTGGGAGCTCCAGTACAGTTTGCAGTGACTGCGGTGGTTCTCGGCCACAGGGGAAACCCATCCCCACAGCTATGCTATCAAGAGAAGCTGGACCAGTGGGTGGCCAGCATCTGACAGAAAGACACCACAAGGCCGTCTCGTAGGCCCCGGCCCGCAGAGGACTTCAGCAGGCATTCTGTTGGCTGAACAAGGCCAGGAAGAGGGCCTGCTCTTGGCAGGGCCACCCAAGCTTAGCTCAGTCTTCTCCTCAGAAGGGCCAGGAAGCAAAACATGCTGTGGTCCAATCTAAACCTGTTTCCCAGGCTCACAGCCCCTTGCCAGGAGCAGAACAAGCCCTGAGTTGCAACGCACAATGAATGCCTGCACTGACAACCCCCCAACGCAATTATAACTCCACCTACAGATCATATTCCTCCCATCAGCTGTTTTGATACTGAGCAATTTCCAACCCCTCCACCCCGAAATATCCCAGCCCTGAGGGCCACCACATAGCAGGGAAGGGGCTGAGAGCACACCACCTCCTGTGCAGGACCCCCACTTCTGCATCTTCCTCCCAACACAAATCCGGAGAGACTCAGCTCAAGGAGATGGCTGCAGCCACTAGGACTCTGAGCACTCCCCCCCCGTCAAAAAGGAGGAGGGCTTTAAAAAGGATTAAAAATTAAAGGGGTGGACAAGGCAGGCATGGCAGTTGGCCCTCTCCAGCAGCTCCCGGACCCCAACAAAGCCAGCTCTGGAGGGTAGGGTCCAAACCCCTCCTTCTGTAGTTCCCCACATTTGCTGGGGCTGATGGGAAACTGAGTCCCTCCAAAGGGGAAGACGCAGGGCGGGCAAGGAAGCCCGGAAGACGTTACCTTGAATGTGATATAGAACAGCCGCCCTCAGGTCAAACTCCCCCCAGCTCTCTTTCCTTCCTAGACCGCTCAGGTGCCTCTGCTCTTTGGTGGAGACTAACAAAGTGTTCGTGGGAGAAGACAGGCGACTGTCTACGTTACAGTCCTTGGCGAGAAACACAAACGCCCCCGGGCCGCTGAGCTCGGCCTGGTGCAGGCCACCCGGCAGGTGGGGCTCTAACAGCAAATCGCTCTCCTCCCCAGCAGCCCCCAGCTTTAAGAGACCGCTCAAGAGCTGGGGACTAGTCCGTTTGGCCAGCTCGTAAGCCTTGGGGAATGCAGGCTGGTCAGGGCCCGAGGAAGGCGTCTCAGCCCCCTGAGAAACCAACGTGCCGGGGCAGGGCCCCTGAAAGGTCACCTCCGCCAGCTTACTGTCCGCTGGCTTCCTGGTGGTAGTCTCCGGGCCTGCACTGGGTTCGTTGATAAATGATAACCCCCACTGGTTCTGGAAGATGTCACCCAGGTTTTGCTGAGTTGCCAGGAATGGAGACTCGGCCTGGGCTGCCACGTTAAACAGACCGTGCATATTTGAGGGGTAGATGAAAAGACTTGACTTCTGCTGGTCCACGGCCACTGGAGAGGGACCGGCGTCCTGGGATACCAATTTGGAAGAAGCCGAAAGAACAGTACTAGCAGCTGGCACAAGCAGGGACTGGACCCCAGCTGGACACACACCACGATCAGCCCCTGCCAAGACGGGCCCGTTGGAAAAGTTTGCTGATGTAACAGATTTCATTGCAGACATGGGGACCTGGGAGAGACGGTTGGAGGCCTGGACCTGGACCTCCACTGCAGAAGATGAACACAAGGAGGACGAAGAGGACGAGGAGGACGAGGAGGAGGACAGAGAAGGAGCAGAGTTCTGCGCAGCCTTGTTGAGGTTCTCTTTCACTTTGCTCGCGTAACTGATCTTGGGAACGATCTTTGCACTGCTGTTATCCACGGGGAAAACCGGGGGAGGCTTAAAAAGGGTCCAGGAGTCCTCTTTCGAGGAGGACACCAACACATGCTTCCCCTTGGGACGCTCCTCAAACTTTTTGCTGGCCACCCCAACTTTGGCATCAGAGTTCTTCCGAAGCACGTCCCCAACTCCTGGCTTCCCGCGGCCCACCCCCAAGCCTCCCGCCTCACACTTCCAAGCGGGCTTCAGACCATCCAGTCGAGCCCCCACCTTCGGATCCCCGCCATCGGGCTTGAAGGCTTCCGGCTCCAGCTTCAGTGCTGGAACCATGACGGCTGGGACCGGAGGGCCACACTGCGCGATCTTCTCCTGCACCAAGTTCAGGTTCTCGCAGCCCTTGGCGCTGTTGCGCCGACCCTTCCGCTTCTTAGGAGTGGTATAGCCGCTCTCCGACCCGCTCCCGTCGTTGTCTGCCCCTTTGCTGACGCAACCGTTAGCGATGTACTCCGAGGTGCTGGCGACCAGGCCGTTGGGGACCGAGTGCATCTCAGCTTTGTCCCAGGACGGGCTCTCTCTTGCCTTGCTCTCGTAGCACCGCTCACTCTTTCGGTCCAGGCCGCTTTTCAGGCTGAAGCTCTTGGCCTTCAGTCCAGCAAACATGCCGCCCTTCACCGCCTGTTTGAGAGCGACGCTGGGCTCCCCGGGGGGCTGGCTGCCATTGGGAACCGCGGAAATGGGGCCAGACAAGTCACCGGCACTGGGAGATTTCAGGAAGGGCTCTCTCTCGCCAATGTTCCCGTTGAGTTCGCCATAGCCTGTAGAAAGGGAACAGCAAAAGATTAGAGGCACCAAACCCAGTCTCTTGCCTGAAGACGACATTCACAGGACCTCCAGACACACCCCAAACTGCCAACGGATGCTTGCTGTCAAAGCATTTTCCCCTACGTGCAAGCTCTTTTATGGCAGTGTTGCTTCTATTTGGCCACCGCTGCACCAAGGGCAGGGGGAGAAGAAGGACGACATTTTGACACACCGCCAGGAAGGCTTAGCCGCCACATGCTTTTCATGCAAATGCAGGAGATTCTGGAGGATGCAGGTAAGTTGCTGCCCTAAAGCAAATTTCAGATAAAAAATGAATCTGGGCACCCAACAGCATTCAGGATCCTGGAATCATGAGATTCCCAGACCTGAAATGATGCTGGAAGAAGCCGGGAATGCCGAGACAAAATTGCGTCTCAAAGAAGAAATAAGCTGTACGTAGTCTGGGGGGAGGCCAGCCCTGCGACCCTCAGAAAAGGCATGTCTGCTTCAAGGAGTTGCAGACTAGAGCTATCGAAGATCCCCTCCGCAGGCCAAAACAGCCTTAGAAATCCGCCTGGGCAGTTGCATTTCGCTAGGAGAGGAGCATCCGCTCCTCCCCATTTAGAGAAGAGTCCACACCCCATCCGCAACAGACCCCAACAACTTTGACCCTTGGTTCTTCAGCCATGCGGAAATCAGACCCTTGGACCATCCCATTCAGCAGCCCGCTCTCCCAGTGACCAACCAACTGCACCAGGAAGCCCAGCCGTCTCCCAGCAGAGGGCCTTCAGAGGCAGTTCCGCTACCAGCAACCCTAGGAGTCCTTCATACCCAGGACTTGCGTGAATCGGTCCAACCTGTGTTTGGACCAGGCCTACAGTCAGCGAGTGGTGCCTTCAACTGTCCCTGGCATCTTCAGCCACTGGCCTGAAGAGCAGCGAGTGGGAGAATGCATCCTCCTTGGCTCCCGCTTCCAGCTTAGCCTAAATTCTCCTAAATCCCACCCACAAGTTCACAATTGTCCTGATCTCTGAACCAACACCCTCAGAGTTGCTGTTCGCATGGTCCGACCACAACACCAGTTGTACAGGACACCACACGACACATGCAACACACCTGGAAGCACCACTGATCCTTTTTCAGGCCCAGCAATCTGCCACAAGACAGTCCTTCCTGCATGTAGGAAGCAACTGTTCTTATCTGGAGACTGATTCCACCCTAGCCCCCTCCCCCGCAAGGGAATGGGGGACTCTAGGGTGTAAAACAAACTGGAAAGGTGCCCAGGCACCTTCCTGCCCGCAACTATCAGGCCAGGGGAGGCTGGTGAAAAGGTCGGGCCTTTTGTTTGTTAAGAATTTGTCATGCATTTTAGAAGGGGGTTCAAAGCTACAAATGGGCCAGTGTCCTGGGTGCTTCATCTGGCGTCAGCACCGACCCAAACCATCCTTCTCTTAAAAGGCCAGCCAGTGCTAGGAGAGATGCACTGACTCTGAACTGATGGGAACGACGTTAATAGCCTCCTTCTACCACGTCTACCTCTTTCTTCTTGCAAGGCAGAGGAGCATCTGGAAAGGGGGCCATAGCGTCCCATGAAAAACTAACCTGACCAGGTGGCTGGGTGCCAACCTGTCTTAGTGGCCTGTAAAAGCACGTAAGCAAAGCTCAGCTTAGTCCAACATGAAGGAAAGTTTATTGTTAGCTTCAGACACTCATGTTGAAGGCAGATCTACCCAAGAGGCACCTTCATCTTACAATACTTCCATCCACGTAGAAGCTGGGGGGAAGGGGGGAAGCAGGAGGGCCCAACTCCATAGCCTCCCCAGGTGTGGAGAAGGGGGGGATGCCACACAGGTTGGGTGTGAGTCTTTGCAAAGAGCGGGTTAGGGGTCCAAGGCAATCTACGTGCTAAGCCCAAGTCAGCTCACAACTTCTTGAGTTCTTCTAGCATGACAGGATGCAACCCAAGCCACCACAGGAGGTGCTTTTCCTACGCACAGAATTTGCTGTAAAAAAAGGTGTTCCTTGATAAGGGAGCACCATTCTGTCCAGCCCCCACACAGACGCTTTCATTTTACGCTGTGTGTGGAAATAGTTGCACGTCAAACTCAAGGCCCAACAGAGAAGGGCAAGAAAATGCTCAAAAGGCAGCTGTTGAGCACAGAGAGCAGTGTCCTAGGACCAAGCAGAGCCCTGCAATTCCAAGCAAAGCAGGACTCAGGTCTTCAGAAGCGAGACCAACAAACAGCTAACTAACATCTCACAATGGGCACAAGAGCCAGTGTGCCACTTCCTAAAGCAAAGGAAAGCCTTCCCGTACCAAGCTCTTCAGGCATGCTGGACTTCACCTCCAATAACCCTCATTCATGCCATATTGCATAGGGTTATAAAAACTGTAGTCATCAGTTTGAGGAGAGGAGATATGAACAAGAGGAACCCTGAATTCTCCTGACCAAACTGGCAACATCCAAAAGCAATGAAGAGCAAACCAAGATCATGAGAACATTTTTCAGCCCCAATGCTATGTAGTTGATGACATGGTTGTCCCAAAATTCTCAACTTGGTCCACGTTTCAAGAATTGATGGGATATATGTGCGCATGTGTGTGTACGTGTGTGTCTTGGGTTGCAATTCAAAGTACCACACACCATTCCTCAGCATGAAGGTCCACATCTGACAGTCTTGGCAGAAAGATGAGGAACAAACCATTTTGTTTAAAAAAAAAAAAACGGCAATTCCTCCATATGCAGGCCATTCCTTTTGCCGTTTTTTTTTTTTTTTTTAAGTATTTTGGAAGATTAATGTGTGAAAGATCAGAAATGGTACTGTTGCTTTCAAGGAGGGTTAGTGCCCTTCTCTGAATTACCCCCCAAAAAATCTGAAAAAACCTGGAGCAAAAATCCAATTTCTATCGCCCTACTATACTCTGGTCTGTTGAGGCTTAAAAATTGCAGAACCTCACTCAGGCCACTTCACTGGTTGCCCTGCATCAAATGAAGAAAAAACTACTTTGAATGGGAGTTAAGCCTATCCTAACATTTCTCATGGCCCCACGTGGTCCCCCAGAAGCTTCTCCAGTCCCACACACAAGCCAATAGGGGGCAGATCCAATGACTGTCGGGTTGGAGAAGGCCAAATTGCAGGAAGATAAGTTGGCTGAGATCCATGGAACGAGAAAGAATAACTGATCTGGAAGGTTGCTTGGGCCCCTCTGCCTACCAAGAGACCAAAATTTGTCGGGGGGGGGAGTGAGCACAGCGTCTGCACATTTTAAGAAGCTTTGGCCAAGGCAGAGGGATCCCAAATTGGATTTCCTTTGACTGGTCCCAAATATGTCTAGTTTTTAGTTTCCCCAGGCTTTTAAGACAAGTAGAAATTCCAAGAATTTTTTTACTTACAGATTTCCAATTTGCCAGGTTCTGAAATGGCTGTCTAGACCAGTGCTTCTCAACCTTAGCAACTTTAAGATGCGTGGATTTCAAGTCCCAGAATTCCCCAGCCGGCATGAGGTTGAGAAGCAATGGACTAGACTGTCAACTCAGCAGCACGTAAGCCCCGCAAATAAATAAAATGCCAGTGTTGTGTCCTCCTCCAGAGGTGTTGGGCTATAGGCTCCATCAGCCTCAACTGCCATGCTGGCAAGGGATGATGGGAGAGGGAGTCCCAATGATTTTGAAGGGCCTCAGGTCAAGGAACATCTCTGGTGAGGCAGGACTCTTGACACAAAGCTATAAAATATCGCTGCCCGGCGGGTCTTCATAAAGAGAAACAAGTTGTGAGACTCCATCCAAGCTTTGGACTGATTTGGCTAGGATCTTCTCAGTCAATATTTTCACCAGCTACCTTAGCGGTTAAGGACGTAAATGCTATGATTAGGCCTCTGATTAGATCAGTATCAACAATGACCTCACCTTCCAATCAGCAGTACAGAATTTATCTGACCAGCCCCCAAAATAATTTTTACAGCTTGCGGTCCAGAAAGTTCCCCTGTGTACTTCATGATTAGCTGTTTATTATTTCATGACAACAAGTCATTTCCAACAATAAAAACGTTCTCTCAAATGCTCTTCCGTTCACCAAGGGGAAGAAGTCCAGGCCACTCCAAAACGAGCTAACGTTCCTGTCGTGAGAATTTCGACTGGAAACGGGCCACAGCGTTAGAACTAGATTCCCTAAATTCAGGACAGGGCTGGTATTATTTTCTTAGTATTCTTCGAGCCTTACACAAAAATCCAGTGGGAGAACAAGGGTCTCCCCAAAGCATCAGAACATTAGAAGGAACTGTCTGAAGTTCCCCTTAACCAAATTAATCCATCCAGCTGTGCAACATCTGCTCTTCCAAAGGCAGGAGCTTTCCCAGATTTCCAGGCAAGGGCCTTTTGCAGGAAAGATGCTGACTAAGACGTTGTAGGAAGGGAGCCGTGTTAGCCCAAACTCAGGCACCGCTAGCCCCATTTCCATCTAGCAAAGTGCCATTAAAAGGCACTGGTTTTTTAATTAATAGCGGAAAACAATTAATAGCTAAGCCAAAACTGGCTGAAATGCATTAAGGCACAAAAACGGTTTACGAACCACCACTGGCTTGGTCCACATGCAAAAAAGAAAACACGAACAGGCCAAATTACATTTCATGCAGCGTGTGAACCAGATGGCACCCAAGATTCCTTCAGGTGATGCGCACCAAGCTGCAAAGTGGGCTCAGGCCTAATGGGTGGCTTCTCTGAGATTTAAGCGCTTGCCCTAGCCACACGAACAAGGACCGGCCATTTCCTCACCAACAATTACAACCCAGTATTGGGGGGGACCCTCAAGCTATGCTGGTTGGGTCTAGGCCAGTGTTTTTCCACCTTGGCCACTTTGAGAGGGGAGGACTTCATGTGCTGGCTGGG